GAAAAAACCTCTGTTGGGAAAAAAAAAAAAAAAAAAAAAATTAGAATTATGCTACTGAGCCCCTGCCATCCTGTTCCTGACCAGCCAGCTAGGGAGAACTAAGCACTCACAGTGGTAGCTCACCTGTTTTTCTCTTTTTCAGGGCCTCAGTTCAGCAACCAAGGACACTTACGATGCTCTCCAAATGCAGCCTTTGCCCCCCCGCTAAGTGGGAGGCATCAAGGAGATGGGCAGGGGTGAGAGATGCCCACCTGCTTTGGGGAGGAGAGGAGGGAAAGCCTTTTTCATCCAAAACAAGCACTGGGTATTTTCTCAGTGCAACAACCTCCTTTGGTTGGTGCACAGGGGGAATACGTCTGGACTTGGCCAGTCCCTTCCCTCTTGAATCATGTAACTGCAAGCTTTAGCTGTTAAAATGTACATATCTGTAAAATTGTTTCCAATAATAGTGGTTATTAGGCCAATTTTTGTAAGACTCATGTTGTGGGACCAGACCAGACCTACTAACACACTGTTTCCCTAGTTTGTTCTTGCCTTCCAGGGGTATCAAGACATGCAATTATGGTTTTGTTGCATTTAAAGAATTTGTAAAGATAGGGCTGTAGTTATCTCCTGTAGTATTTATCTTTAGACTATTTGACACAGGCCAGCTAAACTTTTTGCTTTAAATTTACCTTTTAAAAACTGCTTCAGTGGGGGATGACTTTTTTTTTTTTTCATTAAATGTAAAAAGTGATGTGATGTTACTGTAGTGAAGGACAGAGGCTAAATGCCAGCTTTTCAGCATGAAGAAAATGAGCGCTAAGCTCCAACAAAAGATCAAGTAATGGCATTGCCATTCATCCAGCACCTGGAGCTAAACAAGAGCTGGTAACCTGCGAACAGACTTCTCAGAAAGCGGAAGATACACATTACAATGAAAATAAGGAGACTGGATAAAGAGAGTAATACTGGAAAAGCCAGGAGAACTCACCCTGGAGAATCCCATTTGGCTGAAGGGTTCGGCTGAAACTTCTGCCCCTCACATTAGCAACATCTACAACTGTCACTGCAGAACAGGCTCCCCTTTGTAAGAGATGGTATGGTAATTCGAATGTCAGAAACACCAAAACTAGCGCTTCTGGGCAACAGAAACTGTACAAAAGCCAATGTAAATGCAGTTTCCAAACCAGTCTGTCACCAGGTTACCTTTAAAAGATGATGCAGGTATCATTCCAAAGAGATACTCATTCAGTAATGTAATGCATTTTTGATGAATCAATAAAGTTAGTGTCAAAGACCTGTGTGTGCGTGTGCGCAGTGAACAGCTGTCGCGATGGGCGATTTAGAACACTTAAGGACTCACCGACAAAGGTATTGGCAAAAGTGGTTTTAATATGATGATGTAAAAGTGTGTGTCTTGTGTCTTAACAAAGTTCAATGGCAAGGTTCACTCTGTTACTCCATGGAAGACACATACAACAGGAGATTGAGTTACTCTCATGCTAGAATGATTTGCAGGGAGACCGGGGAGGCAAAAGGGTAAGTAGGACCCTCCTGCTGAGTCACAAGGTTCAGCACAGACCCCCTCGCTTTCCAAACTCCCGATGGAGCTTAGGTGCAGCTAGGTCCAGTCTTAGTCTTCGACTTGGACAACGGTTTACGTCTAAGGGCTTGTACGTGCAAAGTTTATGTAATGTTTCATTAGCATCGATTCAGCATGCAATCGAAGTTACCAAGACAAAAATCAAAATTACCATCCTAGAAGATTATGCGCAGTATTGGTCGCTTACCAAAGACCTGCTGTTGGTAAGAGGTCTCTCTGCCTCGAGGCACACCCTTGAGGGGTGTCCCAGCTCAAGGGGGGATCACCACCACGGAGCCCCACTGCCTGGCAGGGAGAGCGCAAAGAAGGGCTCACTTAGGCTCTTGCTCTCGTATTTATGGGATAAAGTGGTTGGCTCGTAGTCAAATTACATGTGATAGGAAAGGTATGCACGAGATTCCTTGTACCCACAATTTTGTTCCTTGGTGAGCGAGCCTTGGAAAAGCCACCCGCTATTGCGGTGTCAATCGCACAATCAGTGTTCCAAGCTTGTACGCACCGATGCTCACGGTGCCGCTCTGCTCCTTTGTGGGTTTTCAGAGACCAGATTGAAACCAGAGGAGTTCATGGCCTGGCTCTGGCTCAGGCCTTTACCTCTTCCGGAGCCTGCACCACACCACCGCCGGTCTGGGTCAAGGGGTTGAGCGCATCCATCACAACAGCTGTGGGAATGGTACAAGCTCATGAGCGGACACAGTCAGGCCGGCTGCACCAATGTGCACCCAGCAGCGTAATTTCCTAGGCAACCTGAGGAGGATGGTATTCCAACAGGAGTTTCTAAACACATCCTGGGAGGTGGGGGGGGTGGGCTGTTGGAAAAATGCAGTAAGCCCAAGTATAAACGGGATGCTCGCCTCCTGCTGCATCCTCAGTTTTGCCACTGACTTACAAGACGGTGCAGCAAAGCCTGTAAGCACCTCAGCAAAGACAAGAACAGCCCAGCAAAATAAAGGGTATTTTAACTCGTGTCAGGAGCTGACCGGTTCCTTCCGCTGGTCCCGACAGAGGGAGCAGCGCTAAAGCAGGACTGTGGGAACAAGAGGTGCCTCTGTGGGCACTGCCCAGATGAGGTTATGTGCTTGTTTCTTAAAGGACTGGCTTAGCAGCAGCAAACCAGGCTGAAATTGCTGCTACGTAAATTACAAGGCTGTGCCTAACTTCTCAAGCAGTAAAACTATATCTGCACTAGGTGCTTGTAGCTTTTGAAGAATAGTTCAAAGATACTAAATTAGTGAAAAAAAAAAAAGTAAACTGAGACATCCCATGCATGGCAGTGAATGTTTCTTGCACAGAATTCCCTAGATCCCTTACTGTTCTTCTGCAATGACAAGAAAAGTCTGAGAGAACTGGGTGATACCTCAAACAGCTGAGCTGAAAACTACAGTGAAGTCGCTACCGCAAAGCACTCTTGTTCTTGACGCAAGAACCAAGAGTACTGAAAATACTTTAAAAAAAAAAAAAAAAAAAGATAACCATATTTGCAAGATGTAGAAGTCAAAAGTTTTGGCAGTCATAAAATACCACCCACTGAACAACGGGGAAGAAATTCTTAGGAAAAAATATCACCTTTATGCTCTTTATATATAAATGGATCTTGATTTCAAAAAGCACCCAACGCTTGTTTCGGGGACACTCACCGTAGGTGTGAGCTGAGTCTTCTCTTTGCCTTCAGGAAGCAACTGAAGCTGTTCTTTCTTTTCGGAGAGGAGTTGATAATACAGAAGTAGAACAAAAGCTTCAAGCGAAGTGCAAAAAAACCTGGGCTCACCTCCATTTTGACAAGACAAAGAGCATGAAAGGACAAGCTCCTGGCCCGGTTTGATGCAGCAGGGGGAAGGGGAACTAGCCTTCCCCTGACACATTTAAAAAACTACAAACAAGTGCATACATGTTAAAACACTTGGAAAATGGTTTAATGATGTTTACAACAGAAATGAACTGTACAATTACAGTAAGTTTAATATATATAAAAAATTACAGCAGACAAATGC